TAAAGTGCAGGGTGGGAGGGAGAGAGGCGTCGGGGTGGGCGTTGCAGGCAGAGGGAGCACGTGAACACGCGGGGAGCACGGGCTCCTCTGAGGCTGGGGCTTGACCTGGGGCAACTTCCTCTGCAGGAACGTCCCTTGGTCTCTTGGGCGTTGGCACAAGGCGGGTGGAGAGGGAGGGGGCAGGTGGGAACGGGGCAGGTGCTCAGTGCTCGTGGCAGAAATGACCCCTGCACGCTGGGCTGGAGGGTGTAGGCTGCCTCAGGGAGAGGGGACACCTGCCCGGGGCACATGCTGAGACCTGGGGCTTTGCCAGGGAGTCCTGTGGGCACAGCTGGGGCACAGGGGGCTCCAGGGAATTGGAGGCGGTGTAGCCCGGGAAGGGGCGTGGCCTGGGAGGGTGTGGCCCGGGAAGGGGTGTGGCCCGGGAAGGGGCGTGGTCTGGGAGGGTGTGGCCTGGGGAGGGTGTGGCCTGGGGACAGGTGGCTCAGTGGAACCAGAGAAGGGAAGGGGCCTCTGTGTGAACCCTTGCTGGGACTTGAGCCAAAGTGGGCCTACGGTCCTCAAGAGGATGACAGACGGACAGACAGACAGCTCCTGGACAGGCAGCAATGACATGCTGTGAGGCACTGCCTCCCTGTGGCAGGACCTGGTTGGCTCCTTCGCTGCTTGGGGCTGGACCCCTCAGCTGGGCCTTGCCCCCTCTCCACTTTCTCGCCCGGTGACCCCTCTGTTCCCTTCGTGCCGGCCCAGACCACATGTGTGTCTCTGGCCCAGACCCTCCTCTGAGCCGCAGGCCCTTGAGGGCTGTCGTTGGAGCCATCCAGGCGCCCCTACTAACGAAAACGCTTTAGCGACTCTCATGTCCCATGTGCTCGCCGTCTTGCGCTGGACCCATCTGCTTCCCGAGCCAGAGCCCCGGACACACGTGGCCAAGTCCTGGGAACCCATCCGCCTGCCCCATTTCTACCGCCGCTCCTGGTCTGAGCCGCCATCCTCCTCCCCCCACCTCCACCCAGCCCCATTCCATTCTAGAAACTTCCAGGTCATTCTCCACTCAGCAGCCACAGGGATCTTCCAAAACGTCGACTGGTGATGTGTGTGTCCTGCCTCAGCCCTTTCCACCCCAGCTTCTGCAGACGCCACTGACACTGAGCTTGAAGCCGCCCCAGCTGCCTTTCTGGCCTGCATTTTCCTTTGATGTTGACGAAAGGCGGGGAGGGTCGGGAACATGCCCTCACATCCCAGGCATGTCACTCCCTGTAAGGGCAGAGTTCTCCAGAGAAGCAGAAGCGATGGGAGGTGTATGGAGTCTGGCAAGCCCAAAATCCGCAGGGCAGGCCAGCAGGCAGAAGAGTCCGTGAGAGCCAATATATCAGTTCAAGTTCAAAGGCTGTCTCCTGGCACAAGTTCCCTTTCCTCAGAGGAAGTCAGTTTTTGTTCTATTCAGGCCTTCAACAAATTAGATGAGGCCCACCCACACCATGGAGAGCAATTTATTTCATTCAAAGTCTACTGATATAAATGCTTTTTTTTAAACGTTTATTTATTTTTGAGAGAGCATGAGTGGGGGAGGGGCAGAGAGAGGGGAACAGGGGATCTGAAGCGGGCTCTGCACCGACAGCAGTGAGCCTGATGCGTCATGAACAGCAAGACCATGACCTGAGCTAAGTCAGACGCTTACCTGAGCCATCCGGGTGCCCCCTCCTGATGTAAATGTTAGTCTCACTAAAGACATCCTCACAGGAACCACCAGAACAGTGCTTGACTAAGTATCTGGGTGCTGTGAGCCAGCCAAGTTGACACAGAATTCACCATCACACTCAGGGACGGGACTTGGGTATTTTGTTACTTGCGGTTCACAGACTTCCCAACCAGCACACAAAGTGCTTGGGGTGCAGTCCGTGGTCTGTAATAGAAGTTCAAAGCTGCAGGGGGGTCTATCTGATATTTGCCCTTTTCAGAGTTCACCTCCCTCCAGGCCCCCTGGATCCCTGGGTGCCAGACACACCGACCTTCTTTCCCTTCCCGCACAAGGCGCTGCTCCCTCGAAACTCTCCCCTGCACCCCTCACGCCTGAGCGCTATCTAGAGCTCCCCGTGGGCCCTCTGACTCCATCGCCTCGCCTGTTCCGCTTGCTTTGCGCTCTGGCTCGCCCTTTTCACACCTCACACGTGAGACCTTCCTTCCGTCTCAGGTGGCCGGTGTCAGCTTCGGTGTCCCCCCGTAAGCCAGTTTCTTCCCGCACAGTTAGTTCCTCCTCGTGTCTAGCCCTTCCTTCTGGAATACTTTTTCCTTCTGAAGCACATTCTTTAAAAGCTCCTCTAGTGAAAGGCTGCTAGGGTAAACCCTCGCGACTTCTCCAAAGTTTTACCAGAAAAAATTATGTCTAAACTTTTAATTATCTGAAAAATTTATTTTGTATTTACTTTTGGAAAACGGTGTAGAAAATTCTTAGCTGACAGTTACTTCCCTCTGAGCACTTTGGAGACACGTATTTCACTGTCCTGGCATCCACTGCTGCTGTCGGTTTACCTGCTGTTTCTTTAACGCTGATACCGCTTTCCTTTCAGCTATTTTATTAAAAAATTTTTAATGTGTATTTACTTTTGAGGGACAGACCATGAGCAGGGAAGGGGCAGAGAGAGAGAGAGAGAGAGAGGGAGACACAGAATCCGAAGCAGCTCCAGGTTCTGAGCTGTCAGCACAGAGCCCGACGCGGGGCTTGAACCCACGAATTGGGAAATCATGACCCGAACTGAAGTCGGACGCTTAACCTGCCAAGCCGCCCAGGCGCCCCTCCTTCTGACTATTTTAAAGCTCTCTTGCCTGTAGGAGTCTGTGATTTCACCATGCTGTACCTAGGTGGGGATTTTCTTTTTATTTATCCCATTTAGTGTACATTGTGTTTCTCCGTGAATGCTTAACCTGTCACCAGTACTGAGGCATGATCTCTTCAAATACCGGCTCTCTCTCCTTTGGGACTGTGACCAGACGTCTCTCGGCTCTCAGCACATGCTGTGTGCCTCCACCTCTCTTCTCTATCCCCTTATCTCTTACATCTCAGTCTCCATAACTTCTGTACATTTAAATTCCAGTTCGCAAATTCCTTCTTCAGTTGTGTCTAATGTGCCACCTAATGCATTTGCTGTTCTTTTTACGTCTTTATTGAAATATAACTCCCATATTGTAAAGTTTACCCTTTTAAAGTTTTTAATCCAGTGGTTTTAGTACATTCACAGCATCGTGTAAGGATAGATAGTCTATATTTTTAGAATATTTTCATCACTTGAAAAGAACCCCATTCCCCATTCCTTCCTCCTCCCAGCCGGAGGCACCCACGGATCAACTTTCTCTTTTTTGGATTTCACTATTTCAGACATAAAGTGTACATAAATGAAGCCACAGTATCTATATTCTTAAGCAGCTTTATTTTCATTTAGCAGAAATCTTCCAAAGTTTCTGATGACCTTTTAATTTCAGTGAAAGCTTTTCATTTCTAGAGGTTCCCCTTTCTCCGCTAAGCACAGTCACTTCTCGGACTGCCTCGTTCTTCCCTTCAACCCATCTTCAACCCACCACGCAGATTAATCTTGTGTTCTGTATCTGACACTTTCGGTTTAGAAAGTTTGTGGAGATTTACAGTTGTATCTCTTCATCGTTTCTGTTGTGTCTTTGGAGGCCTATTTCCTCTGGATGTTTGCTGATTTTTGGCTTTGAATTCATACATAGTTTTTAATGTTTATTTTTATTTTTGAGAGAGAGAGAGAGAGTGTGCGTGCACATGGGGGAGGGGCAGAGAGAGGGAGATCGAACCCGAAGCAGGTTCTGAGCTGTCAGCACAGAGCCCAATGCAGAGCTCGAACCCACGGACCATGAAATCATGACCTGAGCCCAAGTCAGAAACTTAGCTGACCGAGCCACCCAGGCGCCCCTCAACTCTTATTTGAATTGACTATGCGGGAGCCCCAGTCCTCAAGCTGGAGTTGCCTGTCTCCTCCTTCCCCTTCACTCCTCCAGCCCAGGGCGGGGGGTGGGGGGTGAGGGGGGGGGTAAGGCTCTCTCTGGCTGTGTCTCCCGTCCCTGTGTGACCTTGGGCGGGGACCTCAACCTCTCTGTGCTTCCGCGTGCTCACCGTAGGATGGGGACGCGCACAGTACCTGCGTGGCAAGGACGGTGCAACGGGCACTATGCGCCGGGTCGCGGCGGTCACGCACAGCGCACGAGGGCGTATCAGTGACAGGCGTTTGTCGGGTGTGAGGCTGGGCGACGGGGTGTGGTCCCGGGCCCGGTGCGGCACCAGGCCGACAGCGGGGACCCCACGAATATTTGCCTCGCCAGACGAAGGCGGACAAAAAGGGACGACCCCCAACACGCGCACAGGAGCTGGGGCCTCACTCCGCGAAGGCACAGCGCTCAGCAGCTTTGTGCGGAGGGAAGGCGAGAGACAAAGCTGAGAAAGCCGGCAAGCAGGAGGCGGAGGGAGGGCTTTGAATGCCGAGACCAGCATCTGGAACTCGCGCCTCGAATGTGGATGTGGCGGCGGGTGGGAGTCGTCACGGGTGCCCCGGATCCGAGCGGGGCGGGCGAGCGCACCCGCAAACCACGGAAGCGGGGACGGCTGGGCCGGGGGAGGGGAGGGCCCCGGGTTCGCGAGTCTGCGAACCGCGACCTGAGCGAACCAGCTTCGCTGCTACCCGCCTCCCTCTCTGCGTCTTTGTGCGTTTCGCTCGCTTCCTTTCGCAGTAAACGTTCTTCCGAGAAATTCCGAGGGGATCTCGGCCAAGCGGAGGGGGAAGGGATCCTGCCCGCGCCTGGGGAGGGGTGCGCGGGGCAGCCGCGGAGGGAGCCGGCGCCGGAAGGGGCGGACGCGCGGCCGAGCGCCGGCTGTCGAGGGGCGCGGACGGCCGGGCACGGCGACCTGCCGCGGCCCCGAGCTCGGGGCGCCCCGCCTGCGCTTCTCCCGCCGCCCCCGCCCCCCGCGCGCCCCCGCCCCGGCTCCGCTCCGCCCCTCGCGCGGGGTCCGCGTCTGCGGCTGCGTTCCCCGAAAGACGAGGCTGCGCCCGGGTTCCGGTCCGCAGGGAGACCGAAGGGCACCGCTCCCCGAGCCCCCCGGAGCCCCGGAGTGCCGGCCCCCCAGGGATGTGAGTGCGCCCCCCCTGCCCCCGACCCGAGGCCCGAGCTCCACGTCCCGACCTGCGGTGAGCGCCCGGGCGCGCGCTGGAGCCGAGGGGCTGGGGCTCGGCGCGGGGTTCCCGGGCCCCCGGCCCAGGGGTGGGGGTGGGGACGTGGCGCGCGCCCCTCCCCCATCAGCAGGTACCGCCTGCTCGCACCTTGTCTTGCCCTTCTCTCTCCGGACGAACCTGCCGCTCCCCGGGGAGGGGACGCGCTCCCCCCCGACCCCACGCCCCCCACCCCCACAGGTGCCCGGCGCGGGTTGGGGCGTTTCGAGCTGTCACCCTGCCCGGGACGGAGGGCCCGTTCTCCCCGGAGGGGATGCTGTGATGGTGGACGCTCTGGGGGATGGGCTGGGGGTGGGGCTTCGCGAGCTCGCGGGCGGTCCCCCCCGCTCGGGATTCCGAGGTGGAGGTTGCTCTCTGGGGCCGCAGAAGGGGATGGGGGCTTCGGGCCCGGCCGGCGGCTGGGACCCCTGACCGAGACTTCCCCCCGCCAGGCCCGCGCCCCGAGGACCTCCGCCTGCCCCGCCCGCGCCTTCCGGAGGCCCGCGTGGACCATGCCGCCCGCAGCCATGAGCGGCCTCGGCCTGGTGCTGCTGGCAGCCCTGCTGTGCTGCGCGCCGGGTGAGTCTGGGGGCGGCCTGCGGGGCCGGGCCGGGTCCCCGGGGGAGCCGGGCTGTGGGGCCGCCGTCCTCCGACGGGCCCGTCACATCCACACCCCCTCCCGACCCCGGCGACCCCAGCCGGGCCCTCGCGCCGGTCGCTGTCACTCACGGTGCCCCAGCCGCATGGGCCCCCCGGCCCTTGTACCCGCGGCCGGTCCCCGAGGACGCGCCTCGTGCGAGGCTCCATCACTTCTCAGAGCCTCCACCGGCCTCCCAGCAGGTCCCGTTTGGTCCTTCCCAGCTTGGAACTGACCCAGCTGAGCGGGGAGGTGCGGGAAAGCCCCACAAGTGTGAGGTGTGTGCGGCTGCCGTGTGCACACCTGGGGGGAGGGCACGGAGGGTGTCTGGGGGCTTCCAGACTCGCGGAGACGGGGCCCTCCCCGCAGATTGCCCAGAAGGCACACGGGCTCTTCCGGGGCCTGACGTCCAGGTGCCAGTTCCGGCCTGGTCCCTGCTGGGCGCCCGGGGGTGGAGGTGGGGGTGTGCTCGGCCCTGTGCAGCCGCAGGGTCCCCAGCAGTGCCCGCGGTGGCCAGGGGAGCGGGGCCCAGGTCTGGCCGCCGGGGCCCTAGGTCCTCTGCTCACCCGCGTCCTGGCGCCCCGCGCAGCTCACGGCCTGTGGTGTCAGGACTGTACCCTGACCACCAACTCGAGCCATTGCACCCCGAAGCAGTGCCAGCCATCCGACACGGTGTGTGCCAGCGTCCGGATCACCGACCCCAGCAGCAGTGAGTCAGGGCCTCCGTGGGGACCGTCTGGCCTCGGATAAGAGTGCGGGTCTGTGGGTAGGACACCGCCCTGCTGTGACCGTGAGCGGGGTCGCTCCTGCTGGGTCCCCTCCGTGGCCCTTTCCGTGTAGTTGAGACAGCGTGGGTGGGGGGTCTCTTTCGGGGAAGGAGGCGGGGAGGGAGGGTCGTGGGTGGGTGTCGTGCGGGGGCGGCTGTCGCAGGCTCCCCCCCCCTTCCCCAGGCAGGAAGGACCACTCTGTGAACAAGATGTGCGCCTCATCCTGCGACTTCGTCAAGCGGCACTTCTTCTCGGACTATCTGATGGGCTTCATTAACTCTGGGATCTTACAAGTCGACGTGGACTGTTGCGGGACCGATCTGTGCAACGGGGGGCCGCGGGCGGGGGGCGGCCCCTGGGCCCTGGCCGGGGGGCTGCTGCTCAGCCTGGGGCCTGCGCTCCTCTGGGCGGGGCCCTGAGGCCCTCCCCCTCCCCCAGGGCTTCGAGCTGATTCCCTCCCTGAGACTCCAGGCCTCCCTCTCTCTCCACCGGCTCCGAGTCCCAGCCAGCAGGATGGCTCCGGGCCCCGCGGGTGCGGGCTGGGGGCTGGGACCCCCAGGTCTCCGAGGGAAAGCCAGGCAGAGCCTGGCGGTGAGGGCATCTTCCGCGGAGAAATAAAGTCACTTCTGGTGCAGACAGCTGGGTCTGAGCCTGCGGGTGGAGGTGGGGCTGGCAGAGGGGTGGGGGGAAGAGCCAAGAGAGGTGGTGCTGGCGGAGGCCGCCCAGAGGCCGCGAAGCAGCGGGACTCGGGGCTGTGGGTGCGCCGGGCTGCCGGGGGGCGCGGGCCTGCGGGGTCACAGGCCGGGACCCGAGGTGAGGCCCTATAACCACGTGCGCGTGCACGCAGACGCCGGACGTGGGAACGCGGCGCTAGCGTCGGTCGGTAGGGGTGTGCGCCGCCCCCGCCCCCCGGACGTCCACGGGTGCCGGCTCGTGCGCTGGCGTGTCCCGGCCCCCACCCCACCCCACCCCCGGCTGCGCGCACACCACGCTCGGCCCTCCGTGTCCGGCAGACACACATGCCTGAACCTCCCCCTGCTCTTTCGTAGAGCCCTGGGGGGATCAGACTCGGGGGCCGGCCCCGCGGTGGGCGTGGGGAGCGTTCTCGTGCCCAGACTCGCCTACTAGACACCCCCCCCCTACGCTGAGCTGGGTGCCTCCTGGAGAGGGTCCTGGAGGCTGAGGAAGCCCCGTGCGGGACGCCGCAGACGGGGGGGGGGGGGGGGGGGCACATAGGTACCTCTTAGGGTGCCCCTTCTGGCCTTTCCCGCTCCCGCGGTGGGTCTGTGGTTTTGTCCCTGCACCCCGAGTGCAGCCCAGCCCCCACCCCCACCCCCACCCCGGCTGCAGGGGTCGCCCTGCGGCGGCTCCAGCCTTTCGCTGCCATCTGGCCTTGGGCCCTGGTTATTTCTCATCCCTCTGTGGCTGATGTGGTCGCTCCTGGGTCCCTGACTCCTTGGCAAGAACCGGGGTTTCAGGAGGGGCTGTCCTCCGCACCCCCTGGGGCGCCCCTGGGCGAGTGAGGGAGAGGGACCTGGGAGTCCAGGGTGAACCGGAGGGGGTGTGGGGGAAACGGCCAGGGACTTGCCTCCCGCTCCGTTTGAAGCTTGCTCTGCCTCTCTGCAATGTACCCGGTCCCCGCCCCTGCCCACACTCAGTAAAGTGTGCTACCCACCGCTTGTGCCTGGCTTTGGGGGGCGTAGGGACTGGGCCCTGTGGGTGGTGCCGGGGAAACGGCAGCCTGAGGATTCAGGTGCGGGAGGCAGGTGCCAGCGAGGATTTCGGGGGGACCAGACGCGCCCTGGGCGCAGGGCTGCAGCCAACTTTTCCGTCCACCTTGCGTGCTGAATGGATCATTTGAAGGAAGTGTGTAAACACAGTGGGGAGCTCCTCCCAACTCTGTGAGCGTGCCGTGTGCATCCAGGCACGTCTGAGAGCCTGTGAGCAGTCTCCACCTTGACCAGCCGCCCTGGAGGCCGAACCCCACGCCTTGTGGCGCGTGCTTGGTCCGGCTGGGCACGTGGACAGCGCCCGTAAAGCCCGGTGCCCCTGGAATGGTTTTCTGAAGAACTCGCCAAGGACCTCCTTCCCGATCTACACGGGGCTTTTGTTTTCAGGGTCTGCTAGGACTCCCCCGAACCACCTCTCCCCTGAGGGCCCGGGATCTGCTCCTTCACCAGCACCCCGCCGTGACCGGCTGGTCTGGTCCTCCTGCCCTCCCTCGGTCGAGTGACTCTCTCGGGATTCAGGAAGCCGGTGGCTGAGCCAGGAGAGCATCTCGTGGAAGGAGCAGATGGCCCCAAAGGAAGGGAAGGAAGCCGTGCCCCCCCCCGCCCCTCCCACCTCTCCCCTCGGGCATCACCTCTTCCAGGAGCTCCCGGCCATCTGGGAGATCCAGTGACCCCTCCCCAATCTCCACTGGAAAACTCATTCGAGAGGCTGAATGGCTTACGAGTTTGTCACGGCTTGTGACGCAGCCGTGGCCCGCCCTTGTGCTGTGGCTTTTGTGTTTTCCCACAGATGTAGGAGACCCTTTTGTGTGTTAGGCGCCATCCTGCCCATCGTCTTATGTTTCCAAGTACGTTTGCTCTTGATGTCTTCACTGGACTCACTGCGCGTCCTCGCGCTCCGTGCCGTCCGCTCTAGCTGTGGTTTCTGGGAGAATCTTCTCGGTCCTGATCTTAGGAGAACAGTCTTCATGTTCTAATGTTATAGTTTGGGCTCCGACCTTCAGATTCCCAGTCTGTCTGGGGCTCGTGTACCAGGCGGCAGGAGTCAGGGCTTCTTCAAAATAAACGGCCAGTGTTTCTTGATGCCACCCATTAAATAAGCCATCTTTCCCCCTTTGATGTGAAGGGCCACCTTGGTAACAGCACGCGGCGCCCGCATCTGCACGCCCCCCCCCCCCCCGTCGGGGCCCCGCCGGGCGCTCTGCCTCTGGCGGATTCACAGCAAGTTTGACAGCTGCGGAGGCAGTGATCGCCTGCTTCTCACCGTTTATTCTTCCGGATGAATCTTAGAATCCATCTGTCCACTTCCAGAATGGCCTCGTGGTCCCTCTTTGAGATCTCACCGTGCAGCCGGCCGCCCAATCGTGCCCCTCGGCATTTCATTTTCCTAACGTGGGTCTGGTATGGTCGTTGGCATCTGCGTCTTTACTGCTCGTGACTTGCAGCTTTGGGGGCATAGTAAGCGTGGTTCCCCCTTTCCTGTAAACCAGGTTGGTCATTTTTGGTGTGAGGAGCTGACGTTTTTCATTTTCTTCATGCTGTTCTTTCCAGAAGTGCCCGCCCCCCACCTGGCCTTCATTTAAGCAGGACGCTTGAGGGCACTTGGGAGGTTCATTCGGTTAAGTGTCCGACTTTGGCCCGGGTTTCGGTCTCAAGGCTCATGGGTTTGAGCCCCACGTCGGGCTCCATGCTGACAGCTTGGAGCCAGGAGCCTGGAGCCTGCTTCAGATTGTGTGTGTCTCTCTCTGCCCCTTCCCTGCACACTCTCTCTCCTTCAAAAATAAATAAATGTTGGGGCGCCTGGGTGGCTTAGTTGGTTAAGCATCCAACTTTCGCTTAGTCATGATCTCACGGTTCGTGGGTTCGAGCCCCGCGTCGGGCTCTGTGCTGACTGCCAGCTCAGAGCCTGGAGCCTGTTTCAGTCTGTGACTCCCTCTCTCTCTGACCCTCCCCTGCTCACGCTGTCTCTCTCTCTCTCTCTCCTAGAAATAAATAAAACATTTAAAAATAAATAAAGCATTAAAATTTTTTAAAAAAATAAATAAATGTTAAGAAAAATAAAAACTAAAGAGCAGGACAGCTGGGGGTTTGAGGGATGCGGACGGCAGCCCCGGGTCACCGGCCTCCGTGTTTCTGCAAGCCTCTACCCCCCGTGTGGCCTCTCTGACACGGACGCCAGGACACAGGGAGCGAGTCTGCAGGGAAGCCTCCCCTTTTTTAAATGTTTATTTTTGAGAGAGTGAGAGAGAGACAGAGCATGAGCAGTGGGGCAGAGAGAGGGAGACACAATCCGAAGCAGCTCCAGGCTCTGAGCTGTCAGCACAGAGCCCGACACGAGGCTCGAACCCACAAACTATGAGATCATGACCTGAGCCGAAGTTGGACACTTAACCAACAGAGCCACTCAGGTGCAAGCCCCTTTCAAGACAGGGAGGGAGAGAGGAATCTTCCTCAGACAAGAGAGAGACGCCCCTGGGCTGAGAGGGCAGAGGGGCTGGAAGGAGCCGAGGGGGCGGGATCCCAGAGACAGGTTCCCGAGGGGCGGGACCTCTGCATGGTCCGGGGGATGGGGGGGGTGGGGTGCTGGCCTGGGTCAGCTGGAGATAGCCTCGGGCCCCCAGGAAGTGATGTGGCCGTGCCGACCCGAGGGAGAGGGAGGCCCATCTCGGTGCAGCCTGTGCGCCCCAGTCGCTGTGTGAGGACCAGAGGGGCACCAGCATGTGGCAGTGCACCTGCCAGCCTGGCCCCGACCGGACGCAGCCCCCACCGGACGCAGCCCCCACCGGATGCAGCCCTGGAAGAAAAGAAGAATTCTCCACCTGGGAAGATGGGTCTAGCGAGGAAAAACTGAGGCAGAAAGATTCCAGTTGTGTCCCTCATTCGCCTGGGGACGGGGACGGGGGGGGGGGGCCTGAGCTCACGGGCTGAGCGCTGCCCCTCTGTCCTCCTTAGCGGTCCGCGGCGACGGCGGCGGCCGGGTGCGTCCCCCTGGCAGAACCGGAGTCGTGGAGGGACACCCTAGGGGCTGGGAGGCTGCGAGTGCGGTCCCCGAATTCCAGAGAAGCGGGGCTCACAGCGCAGGGACCGCCCGCGGGGACTCGGGGCAGCCGCGCGCGGCACTGCAGCACAAGAAGCTTCTTGTTTTCCGACGCTCGTCTTTGTCGACCCCGTTCCTGGCACAGTCTGTCTCCTGGACTTTTAAGGTGTAGACCCAGGCGGCCGACGAAGGAAGATAATTTTGACTCTGCTTCCCCAGTATTTTTATTGCTGATTCAGTTTCTGTTTCTGTTGCCTCGGCCGGGACCTGCGGGCGGGGTGGGTGGTGACCCTGGGTGGGGCCTGTCCGCCGTCCTGCAAGGCCTTTCCTGTGGCGCCTGGAATCGATGTTTGCTTTCGGATCTGAAAACCAGTCTTTGTTCAGCGTCGACTATTTACTTATTCATACTTCAATTATATTTTTTTTATTAGGAATGGCTGATGAGTTTTAAAGAAATACCCTTTCACCGTTTATTGATATAACTCCATATCTGCTCATTTAATAGTAGTTAATGCAGCGGGTTCTGTCGCCTATCCCCGAGCGGTGAAGCACCTCGGCGTTTGTGACAAAAGAGCCGAGGTGGGTCATGGTGCCGCATTCTTGTCGCCCACCGCCTGACCCCCCGCCGTCAGGAGAGCCGCATCACATTCGTGCCTGCGATCTGTCTCTAGTCCTTCGGACGACTTCACCGGACGGGCGCTCAGCATCTCGGCAGCCTCACAGAGGACACGGCCACAGCCCACTCTCGAGAGCAGTCTGGCTGGGGGGGCGGGGACGGCGGAGTTCCCCTTCCCCAGGGCTTCCTGGGGGCGTCCGGGGGGCCTCTGGTGTGGGCCCAGGGCAGCGGTAGGGTCAGTGGGTGCCCTGTGCCCGCCTCCCACCTCCTCACCCGTGGGCGCTGGACCCGTCCCTCTCATAGCGTCTGTCTGTCTGCCTGTCTCCTCTTCCTTTGCCCCTGCTCTCAGCCCGGGTAGACCCCCGAGGAAGCAGACCCGGAAGAGGTAGGTAAGACACGGACATACGGAAACCTCCACTGGGTTTGCAGGACACGCCTGGGCTCAGATGCCTCTTGCTGTTTGATCGGGACCAAGCCCTGCACCCCTTGGGCCGGGTTTGTCTGTGACGCGGGGACACACCCAGCTCACGGGCGAGGGGCCGCGTTTGCAGGCGGAGTGCTGCTGGGCTGGCAGAGTGCTGGTCCCGGCAGGGGGGTGGAGCTGGGGGCGGGGGTGGACTTGAGGCTCGCCCTTGACCCTGCCCCTCTCCCGCCAAGTCCCCTCCCTGGGACTTGAGACTGAAGTGCAGCGTCTCCAGGTGCGCCCGCCCTGGCGGCCTTCGTCCCCTTCCTCCTGGCCTGTGTCCCCAGCCCCCTGAGGACGCAGGTGCCTCGTTTGATCCGGTCTGTATCTGGTGTCCCTCGCGCCCCCCACCCCCCGCCTGGGTGCTCTGTCTCCTGGGGCCCCAGGGCACTGCGGGCAGCCGAGCCCAGCAAAACGTGAGTGCTGCTAACCTTGGGCAGGGGGCCCGGCCCCTCCCGGGGAGACCACGTGCTGCGGGCCCTGAGCTTTCGGGGTGGGGGGGGCTGGCAGGTGGGTCCTGTGCCAGCAAGCTTCTCAGGGGGCAGGGTGGACAACGACTGATGGAGTTCAAGCCCGGGGAGTCCCAATTTCAGGGACCCAGTCTGGCCTGGACACCTTTGAAGTCCAGCCTGTGGGCAGCAAAGAGCTGACTGGCATCATGTCATGGGCTCAGATCCACGCTCTCAGAAGGGCCACCGTGTGGAGCCAGGGGAGGGCCTGGAGGTTCGCGGTCAGGGGTGTGTGACAGGGTGGGTGGTGCCTGTCCAGGCCAGCAGGGTTCAGAGACGCTGGGAGGGGACAGCTGGGTGGTGGAGAGAGTGAGGACTGAGGGAAGGGGCGCCAGGTGAGGAGGGGGTTGGCACAGGTGGAACGGGTACCCACAGGGCACCCAGGAGGACTTCCTGGAGGAAGGGGAGATGGTGGGTGGGGCCCTCCTGTAGAGGAGGAGGAAGAGGGGCTGTGGGTGAGGTGCGTGTCACACCGCCGCCGTTGTGGAAGTTCCAGAATTCCTAGGCTCCAGGCAAGTGCCACCCGCTCCCCTCACCACTGTGCCCGAGTCCCCTGGATCCCACACCGGTCTTGGCGCTGGTCGGGTGGCTGGGAGCAGCCAGGGAGCGTTGCCCAGTGAAGGCCAGGGAGGGGCTTGGGAGCCTCTCCGGTGTCTGTGTGGGAGGGTCTGGGCGCAGGGGAGAGGCTGGGGCTGCAGCGGCTGCTTCTGCTTGGCCCAGGGAGCACCCGGCTGTTTGCCCACCCGCGTGGGGAGGGCGTCACCGTTAGGCAGGCTCCACCCCCTCCTCCCAGGCGGGCTGCTTGCTGAGGGGTCGCTCACTCAGAGCAGGGACCCCGGCCCTTCCCTGGACCCAGACCCCTGCACGCGCCTCCCAGGCCAGTCCCCCTGCAGGCCGTTGGCAATTTTGCTGAACGAATGAGTAAAATGAAAGATGAGTGAGCGGAGTATGGAAGAAGGACTCACCTCAGCGGCAGGTCGTGAGCCACGGGTCACCGAGAAGAGGGGCTGACGGGGCGGCTGTGAGGGTGGCAGCTGTGGCCTTCCTCCCGGCCCCCCCACCCCCCGACTGCCTCCTGCCCAGTCTCCCTGTTCCGAAGGGAACCCCCAGGGCCCTGCTCCAGCCCCTCCAGAGCACTGGGCCTTTGTCCCTAATGTGGGGACAGAGCAACACGTGGCCCCAGCTGGGCAAGGAGACGCACGGACGGTCAGAAAGACAAACTGACACCTGCCTGAGGCAAGAAGGTCGGGGCCCTGACCCCGGGGAGACCCGGGGGACCTCCGAGGGGAGAGCTCGTCCGCCCGAGCGAGCACGGCAGGAAGACCTGAAGATTAGCTGATCAGAAATGAAGTCGTTCTTTGGTGGGCGTCCCCAGGGTCCCAGGCAGTGATCACCATGGTTACCGCGCCTTCAGATCCTCGGGGTTCCTCACTGAGCGCTCCTGCCGCAGCCAAGCGCCCGCCTGGGCCTGCGCCGGGCTGCCCGCCGACGCGGTGCTCACGGCAGAGGTGTCCGGCCTCACGCGTCACCGGGGACGCCAACCCCAGGCTCGTGCCCCCAGGGTAGCAAGCGTTCACGAGGCTGACGGGGCCACAGGACGGGGGCCACGGGACGGGGGCCACGTGCACGGCCAGATTCCCCTGCACACCGGGCGGTGGAGACGCTGCGGAACAGCCGCCCGGGGACACGGGGCGCATTCTCTGAAGAGTCTGTTCCCAGAGCCACGCGGTGGCTCCACATCGCCCAGTGAGACGGCTCACGTGACAGAAGGTGTATGGTCGCCCTGCGCACAGAGCAGCCGTCTGGGAGCCCAGGTGACCATGGCCGGGGTGGGGTTGATGAGCTGGGACGCATCACGTGATAAGGGGCTGTAGCCGGTGCGGGGCGTGGGGCCCCAGCAGAGAGAGCTGGCGTGAGTCCCCGCGCGGGACGGGAGGCCGATGCTCGTGCGTGAAGCGCTTCACACCGTTGTTCTATCTAAGTGCGACAGGACAGCACAACTACACAGACGATAAAGCTCTATGTCATCTATCTGCGTATCTGTCATCTACCTAACATCCACCTGTCCGTCCATCCGTCCATCTGTCTATCCATCCATCTGGCTAGCTGTAAGCTACCTGGCTATACACCCACCCGTCCATCTGTCCATCTCTCTCAGTCATCTATCTGGGGAGAATGAGAACGATCGGGAAGATTCCAGAGCGCGGTGTCGCTCCCGCAGGACAGGAGGCAGGGGCGCGCAGGGGTGCAGAGGGGACTGAGAACGGTCCCACAGGCTGCAGTGCCTTGGTGTCAAAGTGTGAGTCTTCCCGCTGGCTGGTGGCTCGCAGAAGGTTGTCACATTATTAAAAAGACAGAAAGAAACGAAGGGTGTGTAGGGACCAGCGAGGAGTGGGTGTCGTAGACCAGGGACCGTGAGTAAAAGTCCACTCTGTGCCCCTCAAGTATACCCTCACGCTAAACAAACCAGAGCAGACCCCTCCCCACGCGGGGCTGAGCTGCGCGCCCCCCGTTATGAACACGTGACTTGTCTTTCTGCCAGGAGGGCTCCTTCCTGAGGCCCCCCCTCCTCCCGTGGATGGGAGTCACTGTCCCCGGGGGAACGGGCCAAGTTCGTGCTGAAAAGGTCACCCCAGGGCAGGAGGCCTGTCCTATCCTGTCCCAGCGAATGGAGGGATGAGCCTGACTCTCACTGGGGGGGGGAGGGGGTGAATGTGAGGAGAAAGGAGGTGTCCTGGGGGCAGAGAACAGGGCTTTGAGGGACCCTGGACCCCAGAGGCCACAGGCAGAGCCGGAGCAGAGAAGGATGCTGAGGGCAGCTGGCCTCTGCGGGGCCCTGGCGACCGCGATGTGCGAGCTGAGGCCCTGGGATGTGTCGGCGTCCTGGGCTGTGACAAAGCCCCGCAGACGACAGAGGTCCACCCTCCCCCAGTATGGAGGCCAGACGCGGAGCTCAGGGTGTGGGGGCCGTGCTCCCTCCGAGCCCCTGGGGAAGGATGCTTCCTGCGTCTTCCAGCTGCTGGGGCTCCTGGTGCCCCTGGCTTGTGACCACGTCCCTCCGTCCCTGCCCTGTCTCCACCTGGCCTCCCGTGTCTCTGTGAGCCCTTCTCTGTCTCTTACAAGGACACTCCCGTCGGATGGAGGGCCTGCCCGCGTCCAGGACGCCTCACTTCAGTCCTCACTGTGACCGTGACCACGCCTGCAAAGACCCTGTTTCCTAACCAGGTCACAGGCGGAGGCCCCCAGTGGCATGGGCTTTGGGGCACGTCTCCCAGTGCGCCGGTGCTGGGCTGGCTCCTCTCCATCCCCGGGCTGACCCCGGGCCGTCCTCGGCAGGATCGGTCACCCTCACACTTAGGATCGGGCTCCGGGATCTTTCTGTAGTTCGTGAGCATGATGACTGGGCGTTCACGCCATTGTGGGACCCGTGCCTCCCCCACACCTTGTTACGACCTTACTACGTGACCCGTTGGCGTGGGAAAACAAAACAAAAAGAATCAAGGGCCCCTGGGAGACTCAGTCGGTTAGGCGTCCAGCTTCGGCTCCGGTCATGATCTCACTGTTGGTGGATTTGAAACCTGCGTCGGGCTCTGTGCTGACAGCTCAGAGCCTGGAACCTGCTTTGGGTTCTGTGTCTCCCTCTCTCTGACCCTCCCCCGCTCACGCTCTGTTTCTGTCTCTCAAAAATATATAAACATTAAATTTTTTTTTTAATTTTTTTTTTTTTATTTCTAGGAGAGAGAGAGAGACAGCGTGAGCAGGGGAGGGTCAGAGAGAGAGAGGGAGACACAGACTCTGAAATTGGCTCCAGGCTCTGAGCTGGCAGTCAGCACAGAGCCCGACGCGGGGCTCGAACCCACGAACCGTGAGATCATGACCTAAGCGAAAGTCGGACGCTCAACCGACTAAGCCACCCAGGTGCCCCTAAACATTAAAAATTTTTAAAAAAGAGGAAAGAAAGAAAGAAAGAAAGAAAGAAGAAAGCAAGCATCAGGCCCCGGGGGACCAGGCGGCAGCGGGGACTTGGGGACAGGGCAGTGCAGACTGGAGCGCGTGGTGGCCTGAAGGGCAGGTGGCTGTGGAGAGAAGCAGGGGTGTGGGGGGCCCTCCACCACAGTCAGGCTTCCGAGGCCGTGGAGGTCGGGCCCAGGTCACTCACTTGGTGGGGGAGGGGGCTCAGGAGCCTGCGGCCCGGGGCCCAGGGGCGGCAGCGGCTGACGTCCAGGCGTGGGAGCCCAAGTTCTGGAGCCGGTGGGTGATCGGCGCCAGGCCACCCCCGCCCGCGCTGCCCTGCTCCTGGGGTCCTGCCCAAGGTACGGAGTTTTTACAGTTTCAAAGCCACCGCCTCCGTTACCCCGGTGCCCGGAGCCCCGCGTGAGCCCACCGGCCAATCCCAGATGTCCTGCCTCTGAATGTCTCCAGAAACTTCCCAGGCCTTTGGTCCAGCTGCTATGCCCCTAGTCCAGGACTTCACTATTTAAGAGAGAGAGAGAGAGAGAGAGAGAGAAACAATGTATTTAAACTAAAAGATCCAACAAAAACAGCTCATGTCTGCCATCCCGGGTCTTCCCTGCCTCTGACAACCACCAGTCTGTTCTCTGTATCTATCGAATTTTTTTTTTTTTTTTTACTGTTTATTTATCTTTGAGAGACAGAGTGTGAGCAGGGGAGGGGTGGAGAGAGGAGACGGAGGATGTGAGGCGGGCTCCGGGCTCTGAGCCGTCAGCACAGAGCCTGGTGGATGCAGGGCTGGAGCCTATGAACCTAGAGGCCATGACCTGAACCGAGACTGGACGCGCAGCTAACTGAGCTACTGCCCCTTAACTTGGTATTTAAAAAGCCCCATATTTCTAAAGTGTCGTTTCTCTCAGGTTATCGGGAAAACGCCCAGACGGTGAGTACAGCCGGTGCCGGGTGCTGACAGCCCGGGCTGGCTGGCGGCGAGTGGGGCCACCGAAGGTCCCTGCTCGTTCGTGCCCGCGGATCACCCTGGGGGTGCAGGACCCCGAGCCACACCTGTGGGGGAGGTGGCACGGCGTCACTCCCGCTCGAGGGCCCGCGTGCCTCCAGGGACTGTGGCCATGGGTCCCCCGCCTGCCCCGAGCTGCGAGCTGAGGGACGACACCCGCCCTGGGGGCAGCAGGCGCAGCTCCCCCGCTCAGCGTTCGTAGGTCAGGACTGACAGGGCCACCCCCTTGCTGGGTGATGGGGCCACACTCGGTGTGGTATTTGGTGTCACAGGCGTGTCCCTGGCCCTTCAGCCCCGGAGGCGGTGAGAACGTGCTCCTGCACAGAAGAATCAAGTCCGGGGGCTGAGCGGGTCGGGGGCTGCGTTCTGCTTCCGTCGCCCACGAGCTGAGGTCAGCGCGGCCCCCCCCTCCACTTAGCGGGTCGGCCTGTCGCGGGGGCACTGCTCCGCCCGGGGCCGCGTCCCCCCCTCCTCCGCTGGCGGTGGGCCGGGCAGCAGTACCAGGCGCAGTTTGCAGCCCGGGGTGCTCGGTCTCCCCGCCCCCGTGCCGGCGCGTTCTGGGACCCACAGGTCTCGCCCTGGGGTCTGACCGAGGCCCGGCCTCTGTCACCTGGGGGGGGGGGGCAGTGGGAGCTTTGGTGGGGCGCCCTCGACCTTCCCGCGGGACCCGCCGTGGCTGGGGGAGGGGGGCACTGCACAGGGGTCAGGGGGCGCGGCCGGCAGGCTGCTGTGTCGGGGCCACACGGCCACCTGCTGAGCCGCACACACCCTGGGGGAGCCGGCGGGGCTGCTCCGTCCCTGCCACCGGCTTCTGCCACCGCCCACGACACCGGCGGCGTTTCTGGCCCTCGGTCAGGGTGCTGGTGCACAGAATTCAAATCCCCCCAAGATTCTTTTTTTAAAGATTTTATTTTTAGGGGCTCCTGAGTGGCTCGGTAGGTTAAGCGTCTGACTCTTCGTTTCAGCTCGGGTCCTGATCTCACGGTTTGTGAGTTTGAGCCCCGTGTCGGCTCTGTGCTGACAGTGCAGAACCTGCTTGGGATTCCCTCTCTCTCTCTCTCTCCCCCTCCCCCTTCCCTATTCACTCTCTCTCTCTCTCTCAAAATAAATAAATAAATAAATAAATAAATAAATAAATATTTAAATATTTATTTTGACGGCGCCTGGGTGGCTTAGTCGGTTACGTGTCTGGCTCTTGCTCAGGACATGATCTCGCCGTCTGCGGGTTCGAGCCCTGCGTCGGGCTCTGTGCTGACAGCTTGGAGCTGGAGCTGCTTCAGGTTCTGTGTCTCCCTCTCTGCTCACCCCTCCACTCACACTCTGTCTCTCTCTCTCAAAAATAAATAAACATTAAAAACTTTTTTGTTTATTTATTTATTTTAAAATATTTTTTATTTATTTCTGAGGGAGAGAGAGATAGAGACAGCGTGAGCAGGGGAGGGGCAGAGAGAGAGGGAGACACAGATTCTGAAACAGGCCCCAGGCTCTGAGCTGTCAGCACAGAGCCAGACGTGGGGCTCCAACCCACGAACCGTGAGATCATGACCTGAGCTGAAGTTGGACGCTTAACTGACTGAGCCACCCAGGAACCCCAAAAAATTTTTTAAATTTATTTTTAAGTGATCTCCACACCCAACATGGGGCTTGAACTCACAACCCTGAGATCAAGTCGTTTGATCTGACTGGGCCGGCTAGGCACCCCAAATCCCTCTGGACTCTGGTCCTGGTCACCAGGTCTCACACTTGCTCCGGTGCTTGGTGAGCAAGGATGTGCAGGGGCGCTGATGGCCGAGTCCCAGCGGGGGGTTCCTAGGTGTGGGGGAGCCTGCAGGAGAGGAGGGGGCAGGATGGGGCAGCCTCCGGAGGCAGAGAGGGGTCCCAGCTGACCCTAGCAAGCACAGCGGGGGCTCAGCCCCACAAGCGGAGTTCTGCCAGCGGCCGGATGAGCCCCGGGCCCCGGAGGGGACTGCAGGGAGCCCCCGCGACTCCCCAGACTTCCCGTGGACCAACTGCGACACAGCACCAGGGGCCGAGCGGGCGGCGGGTGACGCGGCGGCCGCCTCCTGGGTCTATGGTCCCCAGGGCGCCGCTCTCAGACCCGGGTTCGATTTCTGCCAGCGGCTCTGCCCCTCATGGCCTAGCTGCGGGCCCCCTGGGACGCTGGGGGCTGTCTGGCCGAGGGCGCTGCTGGGCCAGGCCCTGTGGCTGCTCCCGCTGTTCTGCGTAGGCGCCCCCCCCCCCATTCAGTTCCCCTCCTGGTGACTCACAGGAGTCCCAGGGGTCGCTCTGGAGTGTTCCGGACTGTGGGGGGACCGAGAGCACCCCGGCTTCCGGGGAAGGGTTTAGTGTAAAGAGGCTTCAACAAGTAGAACGCGGGTAACACTGAGGCGTCAAGGCAGGCGCTGCAGGGGCAGCGGGGAGCGGGCAGTGGGGGCCGCAGGGGGAGTGGGTGGTGGGGGGCCCGGGAGCCCCCACCAGGCTGGCGGAGCGGCACTGGGGCAGCTGGGGGACTCCGGGGAGGGGGGAGGGGGGTTCCGGGGAGCGGGCAGTGGGGGGCCGCGAGGAGAGTGGGGGGCGGGGTTCTGGCTGGTCCGCACAGGCTCGGCCACGGGATTTCTCTCCTGACTCCCACTTTCGTGATGGGGTTTGAACTGCTCCCGAGCCGGGCCAGGGGCCAGATGGGGGGGTGACGGGCCCCCTGCCCGCCTGGACGGTGGATAGTGGGCAGCTCCCTGGTGCCCCCCCGTCCCCACTCTCCATCCCATTCCTAACTCCCCACAGTCCAGCGTGTCTACCCCCCGCCCTCAGCCGCCCCGGCCCCAAGGGGAGGGTGTACGGGACCCCAGCGAGGGAGGCCCCTGGCACGGCCCCTGCGCATCCAGCCAGGAGGCCCTGGGCACTGGGAGCTTTCCCACTGCTTTGGAAGGAACGTGTCATTTGTGGGCTGGGGGGTTGCTTCTCGTGGAGAAACCCCCCATCACCCCTGCAGCGAGTCGGGTGTGAAATGTTCGCTCACAGCAGCTTCTAGCGCTTCGGGGGCCGCCGGGGACGGGCCGCCACGGACCGCGGGCTCGGGGTGTCTGGCGTGAGGGCTGAGTCCGCCCGCCTGGGGCCGACAGGGAGACCCCGGGGCCGAGTCGTCAGGCCGCTGCTGTCACGTCCCCCCAAGGGCTCTGGCTCTGCCGCTGGGGCCCCGAGGCCTTCCGCCCCCTGCGGGGCCTCTGCGCACCGGTTACCTTCCAGGGAGCGCAGCGTCTGCTTAATTGGTCACAGGAGAGAGAAGACTTGTCGCCGAGTCTCCTTCCCTCGTGGTCCCAGTGGCTCCCGGAGGCCTAACTTCTCGGGGACAGCAGCCAAATGACAGAGCTGCGCACGCGCCCTCCCCTGGCCCCCCCCCCGCGCCCTCCCCCTGCCCGCCACGCCCCCGGCGCCCTCCCCCTCCAGGCGCCCCCCCCCTGCCCCCCCTGCGCCCTCTCCCTGCCCCCCGCGCCCTCCCCCTGCCCGCC